TGAAGATAACTTCTTTACAAAACAGTGCGGGCAAACAGTCACACAAAGGGGGGTGCCAACAAGAGGCCCAGATCCTCTTTAATGCGACTGTTGTGGGGACCTTAAAGTGCCCAACTGGTTTCGGGGGTTGCTGAAAAAAACGACCCTTGGCAATACTAAAGTAGAATTGGCAATGCTAAAGTAAGTACTGGGGATCTAAGAGTCAGCCTTGGCAATACTAAAGTAGAATTGGCAATACTAAAGTAAGTACTGGGGATCTGAGAGTCAGCCTTGGCAATACTAAAGTAGAATTGGCAATACTAAAGTAAGTACTGGGGATCTGAGAGTCAGCCTTGGCAATACTAAAGTAGAATTGGCAATACTAAAGTAAGTACTGCCCCTCCCGGACCCCCAGGATCTCCCTAAAGAGAGTCCCGCCGACTGGTTCCACTGTTCCGGGGGGGGGGGGTCACACTAAACAGAGTCCAACATTACCACGCGCCACCCACATGTCCCAGCGATCCCCGCCTGGCTGGCTGCTGATCTTTCACTCTCTTGGCATTTGGCCAGTTCCGCTAGGCGGGAAGCCTTGGGGTGCTCCATGTCCTGCAGGAAAACCCCTTGGGCGGTCTTCCGAAGCTGGAGCGCATGTAACCTCTACCTGGGAGATTCGATTGACATGGAATCCAAAAAACGCCCACAAGACAATTTGTTTGGGGGATCCCGTTTTTGGGTTCCATATTCATTTGCAGGGGAGTAATTAGGAGTTTGGAGGTTATTTTTGCAGAAATGAACCCCATTACCCTCAGGGGTCAAATCCACAAAACGCCAATCCAAATCACTAATTGTCGATACTGAACGGCATCAGATCAAAAGCCAAAAACCAAAGACTGATGTGTCGAAATGAATGAACACAAGTGCCGCATAATTCCAAAGTGGAAAGGAAAACATGAAAACCAACGCTCCGTGAAGATACATCCTAATTTTCGCCCTTCCATCATGCTTGAGCCACAGTTGTTGAATGTTCAACTCTACATCAAATTGTGCGAGGGTGTTTCTTGGACATGTTTAGTAACGGAGACATGTCTAACAGTGGCAACTCGCTTGACACGCGGGATGGCCACGCTCAAGAGAGAAAGAGAGAGAGAGATATATATAATACATATATATATATATCGTTATATGTCGGAGGGTCTGCAAGAGCACAAGATGCTTTTCCAAACGGTTTAACGATTTCGTTCACCCAACTGAAGCATCCGCTCGGGTCGACCGGTCGATTTTCTCGGTCCAGCTCGTTGGGGATGTCAAACCTGGCAGACAGTTCCTGGCGCTCGAGCTCGGGGAGGTCCACCTGCGAAGCGAGCGAGTCGGTGGCTTTCCAGCTTCGCCGTTCTGACTTTGGCGCAAGATGGAAACCACAAAGGGGAGGGGGCTCTCAAATCTTCTCAAACAAAATCTTGATTTGTGGGGCTGCATGTCAAATGGCCTGAAAGTCCTACGGATGTTTTTGGCTTCTGGGGAGATCTGAAGGGGTCAAACACACATTTTTTGGTTCGTTCAAAACTTTTGATTCGTGTCTGAGCAGTTAAAACCGTTGCCACTTCGGCGCACACTGAACTGTCCCAAGCAACTTGCTACTTCGTGGGGTGGGGAATGCCCATTCAAACCTTCCCATACAACAACTCGGCACGTTAGTGCTTTCGGTCATCTTCGGTCTCTCGACCACATTCCAGAAGTGACCGAGCAAGCTTGGTTGGTTCTTCGCTGGCTCTGAGTGTGCACCGGAAACCTGTCTTGAACACGGATCTGCTGAGTTGGACCGGGGAACCATCTACACCAATCTCTGCTGGCCCGTCTGCTATGAAGGCGGTTCATTGCAGCCTATGATTTAGCTGCTTCGACTCCTTGGATTGCATGAGGTTGAAGTCTTGTTTTACCAGTGTTGCCCCAATCAGCCCACACAATTTGCACGATGCGTTGGATACTTTGTTTGACGACGAGTCCACTAAACCATCCTTCGCGGGCTCCACCTGCTTCAACACCTACCAAATCAGATGGCTTCATTGAGGCAGGCCTCTTGGTGTATGAAGATGAGTCCTTTAGCTAGCTGCCCCCCATTATTCGTGCTTACATGCTGTAGTTAGGTAAACAAAGGAATGAATAGATGCACTATTTATTAAGAAACATATAAATGTGAATATATGCGTCTGTCTCTCTCTATATATATAAATATGATGCACAACTGTATTTTCCTGCTGTTTTCTCCACTTGCTAGGCAGCTGCGAAAGGCAATGTATACTATACCACAGCCATTTTCTCCATGCCTCGTCCAGGGACTGCGTGGACCTCAGAGACATGCGGCTCAGGCGTCGCTTGTTCGTCTCCCTCGTCTCCTCGGCACCTGGCGGCAAAACGGGGGGTTCATCATGTAAGCATATGGGCGTGAGTGTCCTTTTTTGAGGGTAACCCCTTAAAGGAAAGACATAATTTTGGGGGTCCCCTGCAAAAAGACATGCCGATATATCCCATGGTCTTGCGATTAAGGTCAAGGTCAAGTGTCTGCTGGAGAAGTTCCTATGACAGTTGCTAGTAATTACGTGGGGTTGTCTGCGTGAGATTGCTTAACTCAACTGTTATTTGCCATGAACAAGGTGTCAGAACAAGTTACACCTTGGTTGACTCATTTCAACACTGCGTTGCAGCTGTTGGCGCCAGTTGCAGGGGTCCCATTCACTCTTGACAACATCGGGAGGACTTTCCAATGATTACCGGAGAACGGCACATAGCTTGGCCTACATCGCACAAGCGACTTTTGCATGCAAACTCTCGGGAACTGGACTCCTGCCGCCGTCCAGCCTTCGGCAGTCTCCGGCCGTTCGCGGTCCAAGCCCATCAAGGGAGCTGTCAACTCCGGGGCGATCGGCTGACGATATTCCGCCTGCAGAGACGAAATGCTGGTTTGAGCCCCATCTTTGAACGCAGGTGTTTGAAGACATCTTGGGCTTAGAATGGTCACACTGAAAGGACCCCCCCCCGTACTTGGATCACCCGCTAGCACTTTGTATCTCCGCAAAGTGTAAGACCCGAAGGGATGAAGCGAGGAGACCCTTGATGACCAGCCCGAGAGACGGCGCAAGCAGGAGGAGCCATCCACCGAAACTGAAGAGTCAAATGGACAGTTCCGCGCGTTTGGATTCTGAAGGCTTACAGGGCAACCAAAAAAACAGTCCAGCCATTTTAGGGGGACCCACGTGTTTGGATATACCGTATATACCCATGTCGTTGTTTCCCACGTGGATGTGGCAAAATGGGCAACGAGAGGACTGCAACAAAATGCCGGCAGCTACGCTCCAACAAGGGAACAAAAGCAGGATCCTGCTCTGGAACGACCTGCCAACATTTTGAGAAGCCACTCAAACTTCCCCAGAAAGAGAAAGAGCTGAGCGAAGCATGGATCGGTTCATGAACCACAGGGCTCCGGTTGGCTCCCATTGTTGGAGCTAGCGGGCCTGTAGAGCCTTTAACTAAAGTGCAAAGCGGGTGGCACGGTCTTCAATGCTTGGGCACTGGAGAAACTCCCGTCAAACGATTGCCCTTGGTGGCCATGGCGAAACGTTTCGCTCACCGTGTGAAGCGACAATTGAGCGTCTTCGTCCGCGTGCCATGAAGTCCAACATGTCCGTTCGGCTTCGGATTCATTTGTCGTAGCACCTCATCCAACATGAGCTTTTGAATCGGGAAGAACGTGCCCTGTGGAACCCAATCCATGTCGCAAAAAGGGCATCTCCATCTGCGAGATGGTTTCCCCGCACCTCTCTTGCAGCGCATCACTGGTGCGACATAGGCCTCCAAAAAACACAGGCCGAGACAATTCCCCCCGCCTGAAGAGCATCCAGCGCGCCGGTCAAGTCGTCCAGGCGCGAGCTCACGGCAGTAAACTGGTAGTGAGACAGCCTGTACAGCTCCTTGCTTCTTTCTGTCAGTTGGGATTGGCCACCAGCTAGTCAGAATCTTGGCGGAGTTCTTCCCCAACGTCTCATGCGCACATGTCCCAAGTGTTTCCACGTTTCTGGTGTGAACATAGCCATCACAACACCAACATCGGGCATACAAAAACCAACAAGCGACACCTTCTGCTTCAGCGCGGCGTGGGCGTGTCGGACAAACACCGCTCGGTTTCGCGAGGCCGGATTTCTTTTGAGCCTCCAGCCGCGAGACCGAGCCAGCTTCGAGCCAGCCTTCCTTCAAGTGTCCCTTCTTGTGGGCAAATGGGAAGCCACCCTCCCAACCGAGGGGAAGGAAGCTGGTTGCTTGCCTGGAGAGAACACCCAGAACCACTGGAAACCAATCGGCAAAATGCCACGTGCACACAAGTAGAGCCCCGAGCAAGGACACTAGTGCTCTTGCGAAGTGCCCTCTGGTAAATCGTTTCTTCGAGGGAGGCCCTTGTTGATTCTCAAAGGAAAAGACAAAGGGTCAGCCTTGTTTGGGGTCCCTCCGATTTCTGCCTGTCAAATTGCTCGCACGCGGTTCTAACCTGACCCATCCTCGCCCTCCGGGTCTCCTCCTGCTGCTGCATGGTGCGAAGCATGTTGTACCTGAGGCGATCGATCCGTCAGCGCAAAGATAGACCCGAACGAGCCGAATGAAAGGCTGCCTGAACCCACGCCAATGTTTGTGGTGCTCAGCTCGCTCTGGCCAAGCCTTTGTCCACCCTTGTTTTTGGTGAGTTCAATTTCTCACTAACACCCATGTGCCGCCCATTGTTCCCTTTTGGGCTCCCTTTGAATTCTTCGGACAAAAACCAAACATGCCCCCCCGAAACAAACAAATCCAAACAAGCAAAACGTTTTGAATTCCGAAACCACTAGGATCTATCTTGCAAGGGACCCCAAAGCTGCGGTCCTCTTGGTGGGCTCCCTTTGAATTCCTGTCAACAAAATGGTCTCCCTCCCCCCCCCCAAAAAAAAAAAAAAACACTAAAGGGGACGACCATGGATTTGGAGTCCGAACTTCCACATTCACCTGCCGGGTCGCTTGATGAAGCGTGGGGCCGTCTTGCTCTCGTGGACCCAGCGGCTGAGCGGCGCGATGAACTCTGCGGCCTCGATGGACCCGCTGCCGTCCGCGTCGATCATCTCGAAGAGCTGCTGCAGGTCCACCTATCACTCAAAAGGGGCGCCTCGTCTTCTCAGGATGCCCTGAGGGAACCAAAGGAAACCCACCGTTTGGAAAGTACCCTTAAAAACAACCAACCCAAACAGGATTCGAACATTGGCGGGCTTCCCCTTGGGTTCCCTTTAAACCAACCTGAAAAGGCGCAACATTGGGGCTTCTCAAACCAGAAAAAGGGAATGCCCCCCTGAAAATTGGACACGGGTGTCTTTTTCGCTGGGAGCCCCCCCCCCAACGATTTGCTTGTGTTTGACAGGAAATCCAAAAGGAACATCACCATTGAACTGTGGTTCCCCGAGCTTGAGGTAGACCCAAATCAACTTGGTTTTGGACCCCCGAACTTGTGAACCCTTCCCTTTGGCTCCCTGAAAACAACATCGGGGATTCCCTTTGGCTCCCATTTAACCTCACTTGGGGACCCACCAAGAAAGACAAACCCTATGGTGGCTATGGACCATCGTGTCTTTGAGGCTTACCATGAGGTGGTTTAGGGACATTTTCCGGCACCTAACCTTGTCAACGTGTCCCATTTCGGAACAATGTGTAGATTATGCTTCATATTTGGTCTACTCTATATGCATCAACTTAAATCATACCCTTTCCACTTGGTATCCTTAGCCCATGTTGGTACCCTACTCATGTTGGATCATACCCTACTCTCATGAATATTTGGTCTACCACAAGCGCTTGTTTGAGTTGGCACCCGTTTCCAGAAGGGGTAAAGGGGAATCCAGGATGACAATGGTTTTTAACATTACAGGAGCATACTCGGAAATACTGGTTTAAGCTTGATCACTTGGATAAACTTTGCATAAACTCCAAGATGTCTATTGTTTTGAGTTGGTACCCCTTTAAAATTGAAGGGGAAACCAACAGGAACACCGCAATAAATAATGCGGTCAAATTCCTGGATTTTGCACATACATGACTCTGAACGCCAAATGTGCGTGGCTTCCTTGTGAGGAGACCTGTGCGTTGGGGTCGTTTACAGAGAAAACCGAAGGCTTTCCCCACTTTGAGACACCCCCAAATGGGTGCGCCTCAAACTAGGGTCACAAAAAGCTGCAGCTTTCCTGTGGGGGTGCCTTCAAACAAAGCTAAAGCAGGATGCCCTCATCAAAGACAGGTACGAGGCGCCCAGTTTTTTGCTGCTGGGTGTGTGTGTGTGTACTTCTTTTAGGGTACCCTCTTTCTGGTTGGTTTACACGGAAGCCAGTTGGGTCCAATTCCTATTTTGACACATACCCTAATGGAAAAACACAATGAAGGTTTTGGGCAATCCAGTGCTGACAAGCTCACTATTGTGGCAGGGTGCGGTATGTCTGTTTGTCCAGATGCAGGGTAAGGAACCCTCCCAGATTGCGCCAAGAATTGTCCTTGTGCGTCTGAGTTTGGGAGTGGAAACGTAGTTGTATCACTAAACTCTCATCCGGAAGAAACACACGTGGTTGCTAGGCAGGCCTATCCGGGCCAATAGTGCAAGGCGGATGCAATGAATCTCTGTGGGGATCACCTGCGTTTTTACATTTCCGCCGGAACGACATTTCAAGCAGTCTGCCTCAAACAACTTAACGCCGGGTCCCAAACATTTGAGTTGCTCTTCTTTCCACTTGGCACATGACTGCGGTTCCTACAAGTTGCCTTAGGGACCTGGTACGGCTGAACAGGACACCAGGGCTCAACAAAAACCTGATTCGCCGTGCCTCGTCGATGTCCATGACGCGCAGGCGGCTCTGGAATTCAGGGTCCTTGGGCGCTTCAAGTCCCAGAATCGGTATCACTCAATCTCAGATAATTTCTCCAGGAAACTCCCCAGGAACTTCTGGTTTGTGTGGATATCTAGCTGGATAATTTCCCGGAGATGGTTTCTTAGGCTCATATGAAATTTTCACATTCTGGTCCAGAGCAATGCAACCGAATGTACAAAATGTCCTGAGACCCTATTTTTTTCAGACACATCTTGAACCTCCAGTTGCCCAAGATGAGGCGTGTTTCGGCAGTTGGTTTCCTATGGACACAGCCAGCCCTATGTATTAACTCTATATATATGCATTAAATACATATATATATATATATGACATGTATACACAGAACATGTGCACTTGCAGATTCAAGCGGAACCCAACCAGATAGCTACCGGATGTGGATCTTGCAGTGGTGGGTCATGCTTCTAAACCAAATTGTGCGAATGATAGCTAACACATCAGCTAAAGCTGTTCATGGTTGTCGAAACCAATTCATGTCCACAGTCAAATCCAGGACGTTCCTTAAGCGGCAAGGGTCCGAGTACAAACTGATTTGGGGGTGTGTCTTTTTTGGGACCCGCCAAAATGACTGAGTTCCTTTTGGTTCTTCTTAACACCAACCTAACGTCACTGACAGCTGTTGCTTGGGTCTGTGGCAAAATACGGAACCCGCGAAATGGGTGGCTTCCCTTACCCAAATGAAAAGGGTACCTTCAAAGACACACACACACACATTTCGACCGAACCTCCCATGATTCTCGCGTTCGCAGCCGGTCCTTGCGCGCCCCTTCAACCAGCTCCTCCAGAGTCAGCTCACCGCTACCGTCCTCGTCGATGCGATCGAAGACCTTCTGCAGGAACTTTTTGTCATTCTCGTGGTTCCGCTCCTAAGCAATTTGCGCGGAATTCTGTGCACAGAGAGCGGCGTTGAAGGGCGCTCTTTGCGGGTTGGTATGGGTTGGTGTCAACAAGAGGAACATCACTTTTGCACCGCACTTCGCCCAGTGAACTTTTGCCAAACCTTTGATGGCGCGAACAAGTGCCTGCCTGAAGGGCAAAAGGCCTGCAAATTGGAAGGACGCCAGCTCGCTGGTAATGTGGCAGTCGAAACAAACCGGTCAAATACAGAGGAAGCAAACAACAACGCAAGCAAGAAAGCAAGCACTGTAAAGCACATTTGCACAAAACACCTGTTGTGGGTGAAATCCTGGGATGAACTTGGTTGAACTTCCTCAAAACCCCATTTGGTGGAGCGTACGAATGGCAAATCACATATGGATGTCTCTTTTGAGAGTGCACCCGAAAAGAACACCACCAGTTTGGATAAAAGAACAGGTTCTTTCTTGCATGGATTTTGAAGCTGCCAAAAGGGACAAAAACACCATTCTGGGCGTCCCCCAAGCAAAAAGACGCCTACATGAGACCGAGCAAGAGGACCTCTTCGCCAAGCTTCCATCTCTTCCGCCAAGTTCAAGACATCACGCTCACGTGCTTCGGCAAAGGTGTCGACCACCACTGCGACCTGATCAATACGCCACAGCTCCCGGTCTGAAAGACCCACTTTTGGTGTGGCTGAAAATGACCCTCGGCGTGATGTCCTAAAATGAAATCCCAGAAGGGAAAGCTTCAAATCACTTTCAGGAAACTTAGCACATACCCCAAGAGCTTAGCCCACTCCAACACACCCCCATGGCAAACAACTGGCCCCCCCAACATCAAGAACTTGGCCCATTGAGGACACTGCAGCACACCACATCAAACATGCATGTTTATGTTGCGACTCCCTTGTCCTGCTAGTTCCTGCCCATGCGTTTTCAAATTCGCCTCGGCCCCGAGGGCCGGGAAGCGGTCAGACCCCTTCAGAACCTCTTCGAGGAAGGAGAAGTCGTAACAACGTAGGACAAGTCATTCGCACTGACCCGTCCCCCACGACCCCATGTCGTGCAGCCAAAATCCCTGCTCCAGCTGCCTGTCCGCCTGAAGCAAGCCTAGCTCCAGGGCTGGGACCCTAGAAAGGGATCTTGAATCTTGCCCTTTCCGGGAAAAAATCAGTGACTCGTCTGTGCTCGGGGTTGTCCCTGCTGCTCATGCTGTGGCCTGTGCTTCGCTGCTTTGCGGCTGCTGGTTGGTCTGTGGCTTGCAAACCACTGTTGCTTTTTGGTCGCGCTTGCTTGCGCATACTTGCTTGTGCCATGCTGCTGCTGCCGCCGCTGCTTGTGGTCCTTGGTATGGACAGTGAGAACCAGCGGTGAAAACCATGCGGTCGGCCTCATTTCTGCTGCTTCTGCTGCGCTTTCGTGGCGTGTGGTTAGGCGTGCCGCCTGAGGTGTTGCTTGTGCTTCTGCTGGCTGTCTCAGGTTGAGCGCTGCCCCCTCCAGCTCGGGGTGATCCTTGGCAGTGTGTCTGCCTTCTCCGTCCAAGGCCCCTAGGCCATCCCCGTTGCTTGTCTGCACTATGGCCTGGCAGTGTGAATCCATGAAGTGCAGGAGGACTTTAGCCTTCCCGCATGTAAGCTTTATGGGGTGCATGTCTTTTTCGATCAGGACAGCTATATGCACTCCCAAAATTCACCTACATGTGCTGCAATGTTGCTAAGGTTTTTGTTCCTAGCCCAACGCCACACCAGACCCTTGGCTTTGCATGGGGAAGGGGGGGAGCACTTGCATCATCTGCACACAGCTGAACAATACACGGAACCCAACTAGCTGACTTAACGCTCTCAATCTCTTGCCCCAAGGCAGTGTGCCATTGCGTTTTGTGACGGGAATTACTCTTAAAGCCTTAACATTCAACAGCGACCCCTCGCCAACACCCCTCAACGTATCCGGTACCCCACGGCACACCGCACATTTCACAAGTTCCTACCTCGCGGGTCAAGTTTCCGGAGGACCCAGTCAGTACCCAGAACAATCATGGTTCCAAACGCGGCTACCTCCGAAGCCGTAGAAAACAAACCGCAGCAGCCGTCCTCAATTTCAGTTGCCACGTGAAGCCTTCAGTTCACGGGTTTCTGGCAGTTCCATCCCCATGATTCTTGGGACAATGCGGTTGCCTTTGGGGGGCAAAAATAACATTCTGGAGGCATATTCAAAATTAATGGCCCTTGGTGGGGCGGTAGCCATATGACGGCCATCGAACCAAGAACGCCTTAGATGCGTACGTGATAAAAGAAGAAAGTGACCCTTTAGGGGTGTATGTTACAAGGAAGAGTTCTGAAACTGTTGAAGAGTCCCGAAATCGTTTGAACACATCCCAAAGTAAAGCATGACAGAATCTGAGAACCAAGCCCCAAACAATCAGCAACAAAGAAGCAATTCCGCACTCGCACAAGACCACAAGTTGCCCGCAGAGCGTAGAAATGTCAGTTTAAGCGAGGTAGTGCAAGACTAGACGTAGTTGCTCAAATTGGAAGCGACCAACATGTCACATGATTTACTGCTAGGGCCATTCGCTTTGGACTAAGCCAAAGTGTCTAGCTCAGCATCCCAAGTCAACAGTGGCTGCGTCTCTGGGAAGGATCAGGATTCTTTCACAGCGAGAATTTGTGATGGATACATATGGATATGCCTGCCAACAAACATGTTGCCCAGACAACTGTGAGCAGTTGGGGAGGGCAAGCCTATCGATAATGGCCACAATGCGCCAATTTCTAAGGATGACCCCGCCAAGTACTTTCCAGAAGCCTTTTTTTTGGGAGGGGGAATACGCTGCCGAAAAGTCATGTTGGCATCAAACTTGCTTGATTGCTTCTGTAGCTCAACTTGTCGCGCTTCACTCATTGTTCCTTGCTGCATCATTTTGGAATCACTACGTTACTTCTGCTCTCTGGCCCTGGACAAAACATAGGTCTGCTTGCACTCGTGCCCAGTTGCAGATCTATCGTCGGATGTTAAGTAGGCTATGTGCTGCTGAACGCTTGTTTGCCGCTGATGTGCTCCAAGGCTGGCCACACTCTTGTCGCGACAAGCTTGCTTTTCTGCGCCTACCAAGATTACTACCTACTGCCCGTTTTCTGATAGTAATGCCATGTTAATCAAAGGATGGCAGTCTTCAATTGAACTATAGCTCTCATGCTTTGACTGCTCATTGCTTGGGCTGCAAATATATCCATCATGTACATAACATGACCCTTTGCAACGGCAAACGTCGCCTTGTGCTCGACTGGCATAGAAAAAAACACAAACATAACAAAACATTCACGATGACCTCACCAACGACGCCGACCCACACTGGAAGGCACTTTGCTGGCATCCAAGCTGGCAACTAGGCCTCGGGCAATGAGGTTCAACACGCCGAACACGATGGTTAGCAGAGATCCAACAAAAATGATCGCTGTGCCAGGATAATGCTCGATCACCGGCACTGCTATCCTCAGGATGCAGCTCCTTTTTTTTGCCCAGCATACGAGAGGATAGCAACCTTTCTAAAGCGTGGCGCTGACAGGATCCCGTTGGGGCACTGAGATGATCTTGACAATCCCTGATTTGACTGTCAGCACACCATATCGCGACAGCAAACTATGTGGTTGCATCACCGAACGTATAAGCACGTTAAGTGTTTACATCTGGAGAATTGGTATCTAAACCAGGTTCATCTCTCCAAAATGTGTAATGTGTACATAGTGTCTGCTGTACAGTCCGTGGATTGCAGAACGCTAGTACCGCAAGTATACGTCTGCTCTTACCATGTTAAGTTCTCCTCTTTGGGATAGCCACCAACAGTTGTTTGAGGGAAGGACAAACACTCTGACCCTCTACATGGAGGGGTCCCACGGCATCGTTTGGAATCAAGGATTCCTTGACTGCAGCTGCACAAATCCCAGGTAGCACCACAAGGTCAGAATGTCCATAACGACAGCTGGTCATGCGCAGTGTCACAATCAACCCGTTTGGGGACGAATGTAATTGGGAGTCCCTACTTGTGACCCATGTTTTGTATCCAAAAGTGGATCCATCCGGCAGGTGTCACAGAGAGAAGGCTTGCAAACTACAGGAAGGCCAGACACGCCACTTATGGGTGTGTCTGTTTTTAGGGGACCCCCAAATAGGTAGTGTTCCTCCTTTAAAAGCAGTAGAAAAGGGGTACCCTCACAGCTTGATTTTCAGCTGGATCGTGGACCGGTAGGACAGGGACTCCTTTCACTTGCCACCCAATTGGAAAGAAAAATCTGGCCGCCTGTCCAAGATACCTCCATGGAGGTTCCTTTGAGGATGTCTTTGGTGACTTTGCAGTTCATGTAAAGCAATCCCAGTCCAAAAGCTTCACCGTTGGTGAATAGGGGTCCCTGCATTTCTCTCAGCTCGCCTAAACCTAGTTTTCTTGCACTTAAAAAGTCACAAGCACTGGGTGTCTATCATGTTTAATTAAACAAACATGTTATTTACAAATATACATAAGTATACAAGAGACGTTAGGGTCATCTGTTCCCCTTGCCCCCGGAGATGCCGGGCCGCAAGCCCCAGCTGTCTCCAGCGATGACCGTCTTGAAGAGCAGCAGGTTGGCGTTCATCACCGAAGATGTCGCCCGCATGCACTGCCTCAATTGGTTTCGTGTCGGTGTCCCTTTCCAACCAACCAAAAAGAAACTTGTCCCAGAAACACACGTGCTTGGCCCATCTTGCATGAAATCATGCGCCATGAGCCGTGAGCAATATGGTAAAGGCATCACTGAGTGGATTAGTGATGCAAACCAAACAAAATCGTGGGCAGCGTCGCAGGCCAAATACGCGAGTAATTTGGTTGATTTGGGAACCTGTCAAAGTGGTCTTTCCGCTCCACGCATGTTCGTCGAAGCATTTACAAGCCCAGAAACCTCGCTTTGGCCAAAAAACAAGTCTAACCTACTTTAAGTAGCCACACAAACTTCCTCTCCAAGCATCAGCCTGCATCAGCCTGCACTCAAAATAAAGTCGCACTGGAATGCTGGGTTGCCTCGCAAACTCGACTTTGTTGGCCTGGCACTCAACAGATTTGGGAAGCTTGGCCTCAGTTGTTCAAGTTCACCCATTCAGCATGTCAGCGCCCTTTATGGGGCGTCCTGCCACTCCGAGTAAGTGGGGAAAAACCTACGCCATGTTGACAACAGGGAAGCTCTTGCGTTTGACTTGAAACGAATATACATTATATACTTGAGAACTCTTTGTCGGGTGTGTCTGCCGGATATGGGGAAAGTGGGTGTGAAGTGGCTTTGGTTGTCCTCTCAAGTTTACACCAGAGAGGTAAAGCAAATTTTGATGTAGAATGTGGACTGTAATGAGTAAGCCTTAGAAAGTGTGCTACTGTCGGTGAAAGCCAGCATACCTTTTCCTCTTGCCTGCCCGCAATCGCGCAATTCCATTAAAACGATTCGATGATCAAGCTGCAGGCAGTCATCAAAGATGCCGGTGTCCGAATCCAGCTCTTGAATCAAAGGATTCCTGGGCGAGACCGTCCGGCAACTTTGGCCCATATTGCCCCAATGGAGGCTGACGAGAGGGCTCCGCCGAGCCTTTGGACCAGTCCAACTCCCAAGAATTTTGGGATCTAGCCAATGACCCCAGCTTCAAGGCATGCACCAACATTGTTGCAACGAACAATCTTCCATGATTCTTGGAAAAGGGTCATTGTTCCGTCGCATCGCATCGTTGCTTTCAGGGATCGGCTGAAAAAAATGAAAGCCATACAAAGAACCACAGAAGGCCTTGGACCGTTCATTGAATAGTATCCCTCAGAGCGGTGCAGCTCAAACGGCATCACCAAACAATTGGCCGGGCTCAGCCCATTTGCGCCCGTGTCAATTCAGAGTCAAAGGTCGAAAGATTTGCTGGGGGCGAAGAAGGAGGGACCCACTCTTTGGTAGAGTTGGGGAGAACCCATTCGGATCTATTTGGAACAGCTTCGAATATTCAAGTCCTCTTGAAAGAGGAAATGTCATCAATTTACCCACAAGAAAGGTTGTTTTCGACTCTGGCCAATCGCTTGCAAGCATCAACGACTTTAGTTTGTCGGCCTACACCCCAAACATCCGCAATGGCACAGCCAGGAAAGCAGTGGAGGGCACTTGACAGTTCCCCATGCATTGTATGTAACGCATGCATCGGGCGAGACCCTTGGGCGCTCTGTGCTGAAACAAGCTGTCCGTGATTCATTGACAAGGCCTGGCTTGCTCTGGCTGCGAAACAACAGTAGACGTCAGCGAAATGATCCAGTTTGCTACTCCTTGCCTAACCTGCTGTTACCAACTGGGGCATGCTCAGCTGAATCTGGGATTCGTTGGGCTAAGAGCCCACATCGATCCAAGTCTGGATCCATGCAAGCGCCTTACTTGAACCGTGACATGAATTACTCTATAATACCTTTGTGCTTTTACCACACAGAGTGGCCTCGCTGGAAAGCGGTAAGCAAACACGGTTTCTCATAGTGCTCGGCCTTTGCCAAACAACCTTTGGCCCTGGCTACAGTAGCCAAAAACGCCGAAGTTCAAATGACGCTCCAACAAACACAGCCCCCATCCAGCTTATCCACCAGAGAAAGGCCCCTATTCCCAGTTGAGGCACCCCTCGGGCACAATGGGACAAAATATGAGTACACCACCAAGAACATCGTTGACATTCGCAAACGTCTTAAAAGGGATCCGGGTGTCTAACAAGTTGTGGATGAATCATCTCCACCGGCTTTCCATCCCAATACCATTCTCACGAACGCAAGGCAAACTTGCCAGTGCCACGATGAAGTAGGTTTGCTTGTTTTGCCAAATGGCAGTACCAAAAGAACAAATAATATTGATTTTCGTTTGTTTGTGGTACGGAACACCGGTTTTGGAATTCAGGTTCAAGATTGTAGATTGAATTCGGATTTTACACGTGCATTGTGCGCGATTTACTTGCACTTTAGACCCGGTCTAATTATCATTTGTCAATGCAGATGATGCCGCTGGTGACAGGAGGAGCCTGCAGGTTTCGTTGCAAGTAGGCGGTTGTGCCCCAGACACTGAACCGCCGTGTTTCTCAGCCGAGGCACACAACCTCAACCATCAGCATGGCCCATATCGTCATTATGACGAAGCAGAAAAGGAATGACCATGCGAGAGCTTTCCTGCAAGCGGTAGTTGCAATGGAGACACGACAATCCAAAAGCAATATGTTTGGAGAGCCCTTGCCTCTAAAGTCAGATTGCCCCAGCTGATGTTGGGTTTCGCCAACAATGTAACTTGCCCCATTTTGCGCTGGTTTCATCTTTTTCCCGAATGGATACTCTTCAACTCCTAGGTGAGCAGTCTTTTTTTGGTGGTTCGGGGCCTATGCACTACTTGGACGCCTACGCGAAGGCCTACGCAAGCCTACGCGGCCTGCGAGGGGTGCCTACGCGAGCACAATTCAGCTTCCAGGTGCCTATGCGGATGCCTACGCGGGCAAATGTTGAGTTCAAGTGTCCAAGTGCACTGTGGCAGCTCCAGCTGGAAAATTGCAACTTTTCAGTACAAGTTCATTTTTGGCAGCTCCGGCTCTAAGATCAGAAATGCAGTACAATGACAAGTGAGAATCCCACGTCTGTCCAAGGATCTGGCCGCTAGAAAAGGTCTACGTACCCAAAATGCCTTGAAAGCCTACGCGAATGCCTACGCGGGGCCTACGCGGAGCCTACGCGAAGACTGCAGAACAAACAGAAGGAAGGCAAAAGAAGCAAATTCCTTTATACGTGGCAAACAGCACTGAGTCATGATTTGTTCAACAAATGCCTATGCAAAAAGCCTACGCGAGGGGTGGCACAACAGCCTACGCGCTGAAGCCTACGCGAGCCTACGCCCCCAACCAGGATTGACTCCGCAAAGTACATGCAGTTCCCTTTTGGTATAAACCCTTTCATTTGATTGAAAACCACTGCTCAGGTGGCCTTTTTGAAAGAAAAAAGGGAAATAGATGGCACTGGTGTAGTGTGGGGTACCTCCTCATGAACCGCCCAAGGCAGCGGCCGAACAGGTTGACAAGCCAAAATAGAAAGCGGCCCTCGGTACGCCCGCATGCACGCACGCGCGCACGGACACAGACACACACACACAGACACGCAGAGGACACACACACACACACACATGAAGCAACAACGTGAAATAGATGACCCTGGCATGACGCTCGCCACTTGCGCACACAAGACTGCTAAAGCCTGCAAATTGTCCAACGCAAGCCAAGGTCTTGACCAGCGAGATCCCAAGAATCCGGGACCGGGACTCGAATCCAGAGTGCGCGGACCCAGATCCGACCCAGATCTGGGACCCGAAGCCCAGAGGCCCAGACCGGGACTCGAATCAACTCGGAATCCGGAATGAATCCGAGACCCAGATCCAGGACCCAGATCCGTGACCCGGATCCGGGACCCGAATCCGTCCCTTGAATTTGGGACCAGAAGCCGGCACCCCTTTAAAAGCAAAGAGCAGCAGAGGCGCTACAGCGGGGCAATTCTGACTTGTCTGCAGAGGTCCTGCGGTTATGGCAGCTTACCGATGCTTTTCCACACTCTACAAAACCGTAACTACTATGCTTCCATTAAAGGCAGCCTTCAAAAATTCAAAGTGCCCTGTATTAGCATGAAAGTGCAGACTAAAAAGGACACCTATGCTTCATTTGCGCAAGTCGAAATGGGAATGGTTGTTTGTAGCGCTTACATGACCGTGACACTACACGGGATTTTTGAGAAAGCCGCTATTCCGACATCTCCAGAGGTTGCAAGCCCCATCGCGAGCAAACTCATTGCAAATTGCATGACCAAACATACCGTCTGCAGTTGTTGTGTGTCAGTGGGCCGGGGGGAGAATCAACTCATCAAGAAGAGCTTCTAGTTCCAGCGCCGCTTCAGACAAAACACCAATATCTGTCAATGGGTAACGGATTGTACCTTTGTTGCAGCTAAATCTGGTGAACGAAAGTTTTGGTGAACTACAGTAACGGGTCTCACTCCAGAGAAACACCAGTCACACGCTTCAATGGCTCAACTTGAGCTGCACGGGGGTCCTATTGTTTTCAGGGGGCCCCAAAAAGGTACCGTTTTCTTGATGGTTTCCCTTCAAACCAACCAGAAAAAGGGTACCCTCAAATGCAAGACACACCCGCATGCCGCTCTGGTTTCTGTACCCGCTGTAAATGAAAGTCACGGACAAGAACTCACTTCCAAACTAGAGGTTGTCTTTTTGGGAAACCAAAAAGGGGTGCCAACTTCACCCCCAAATCGACGCAAGCAGTCTAATATTATTGCAATGGCAGACCGTACTGGTTTGGTCCTGCTCCCAGGATGGCAACGGTCCAAGCCAGAGGAGAGAGGGACATGGCAACTCGCAACATAGGGGGGGTGTTGAGGGTGATCTTTCTGGAGGTCTACAGTACGGGACACCAAAGGAAAACTCACCTTTTTGACAATCCCCGAATTTTGGCACACCCCCATGTGTTGTCGGTGGTTTGCTGACCCATCTGTTTGTTTCAATCCCAGTTTTTGGGCCATCCTCATTTTCTACTTTGGCGCTTCAACATTAGGTGCCCAAAATGGAGCCCTGGCAAATACAACCAACCTGCGGTCCCCTGGTGGTTTAATTTTGACCCACATCCATTTCCTTCCCACACACCAGAATCCAAGCA